CAGCATCTGGCTAATCCACCACCTTTCATTGTTTATGCCGTTACAAAGAGAAAAAAAAAAAAGCGAATGCCCAGTATGCCTGATGGCCAGTCCAGCTATGGTCGTGCCATCAGTTAACCTAGTTGGCACGCGTGCCTAGGGTTGGCGACCCCTGGTATAGATGATTATAGATCCATACAGCCACAGACAAGGAAAAGAGGGCGAAACAAAGAGGCAAGCAACTACAACAAAATATGTTCATTTTTTTGGTTATTTGGTTGGTTTTCAGAGCTAAATCTCAGTAAAGGAAAGTTTTAATATTAATAGAGTCTGGAACCTTTAGAGAAACTGTGAGGTTTATTTGCAGTGGTTATTTTCTTTCTTTGCAGCCACCATCATGCAGGAAGCCTAAGCTGTATGCCAGAGGTAAACTACATGCTCAGCGACATAGTTTGCTTTTTAGAAACACATGCACATACAAAATGAAAGCATTATTTAGCTTTAACATAAGTGTGTATTTGGGTTAAATAAACAACCCATGCTCCCAGTAACTGTCACATAAAGGCTTGTGAAACAGGTTGTTCTGCTTGCTGCAGTATAGACTACTCCAGTCAGACTGCATTATTATGCCTGACTAAATGGTATAATGTCTGAACATCTTTGTTGTTGACTGTCTGAAGACGTTACGTGGCTCAAACTGGAAATGAGGTTATGTTCTTAAAAGGTGTCCATTAACTACACATGGATGTGAGGTAAAACTGAGTTTAAAGCCCTGCAATCCACACAAATCTACACACCCTGCACATCCAAAACAAAAACCTAACACGATCCAATGAAAGTGTCATCAAAGGCCAAAAAGAAAGCAAAACTTTGTTTAAATGATTGGATGTGCAGAAAACAGAGCTTACTGAAGAAAAAGATTTTTTTAATGTAATATAACTACACAAAATCAGAAATTCCCTGCATTCATAACATCCTCTTTCACATGTATACTTTCAGCTGGCTTCCTGCACATTTCTTGTCATGAGTCCCTCCCCCACCCACAAACTCCCCCATCGGTGGTGCACATTTCTTTGACTCAACACAGTTATGTAAAGAAGGAGCCTACTGTCACACAGAGCTATGGTACCAGGCAGGTTACCTGAGGTTGGGATGGTGATGCGGTGAAGCTGAATTTCTTGTTTGTTCTGTAATCAAGTTAAACAAAACGTGTCATTCAAATAACACAGGCTGATGTACAGTGCAATAAGATGGGAATTCAGGCAGGTACCACGTACTGTGTTTGATTTATTACATAACAGATAACACTCACTGCAGGGTGAAACTTTCAACACGGCTCACTCTGAGCTGGTAGTTTGTACCCTGACTGGACAGGGTAGACACGTCCACAAAGAAGTACTGGGTCTCCGAGGCGGCCCGGGTTGGAGGTTGGCACAGTGTCCTGCCCACATCGTAGTAAGGGTACTTCCTCTGATAGCTGATGAAAAAGGAACAAAGAAAAAAAGAAGAAAAAAAAAAGGAGGGGACAACAAAGATCAAGTTTCCCATAACCTCTCATACATTCATTCCTTCCTTCTTGTATATTCTCTAATATTATAAGAATGAAGCAAATCAGGTGGATTTTTTTGTTTGACAGTTACACAATCTGACAAGTTGAAACATGAACGTAATTTTTCCTTTAAAAGTGGTTGAATGCAAACCTCACAATGACATTAGCTCCCCATCTCTGCACTGGTGGTTCACAAAGGAGGAAGTGAGAGTCCAAAGTTCATTAGTGAGCTGCTAAAAACGTGGCCTGACCATGAGACCAACAAAGCAATGACTGACAGCGGGGTGATTCTGGTGTTGCAAAACCTTCCAGTGCAAGAGAGGAACACATCACAAATGGACTGTTGGCCAATGGCAAATAAACTCCAGAACTAGGAACCTTTTATCACGTTGCACACAATGAAGTAAGGTTACAGGAGCCGTTTGACTTGGAGACAATCCCAAGCACATTACAGGCAGTGGTTTTTGCCGTTTCCTCCGTACAAAACTTGTCAAATGACCGTCACACTTCTGAAAAGAATTACTGATTGCAGACTGAACTGCCTCGTCACCTTTCTCCACTACATCTGCTTTTACAGCTAAGCCCCGTGACCTGCAGTTATATTCGTTTACTGTCCAAGTAGCCCGACACTCCTTAAAAAGAACCTTGGAACACATGTTCAAATAAAATGTGCCTACGTGGCGTTTAGGAAGAGGACATCCTTATTAGCATTTGCTTACATGTAATCCATCTGTAATCACAAACAATAGTGTATGTTCACACACCTGATAAAGCTACCAGCACCAAAACAACAACAGGTTTTTAGGGTGAATGTTGATGTTTGGGGACTAAAAAAAAATTATTGAATGTCAATATACTGGCTGTTATTGTTTACTTTTAATACTACTTTATGTTATCTTTGTTCTATTGAAAACAGAAAAACTTAGGAAGATACCTCACACTATAATAATCAAAGTTGAGGAGACAGCTTGACCTCACACCATTATCTTCACAGCTGGGATGCTACATGTGGAAAGTGCAGCCTGAGCCTGAGATGACACCGTTCTTAAATTACGCCCAAGTACCTTTTTTCAGGACATCCTGAAATATGGTTATATCTGTGATAGGTCACTACATTAGTGAGGCCCAAGAAAAGCAATGCTGCGATGAGAAGCCGGGAAACATCTTGTATAATTATGTCATATTTAACCACACGCCCTAATGTAAGAAGTCCCAAATGATGTGCCAAGCCCTACTAATGCACCTCTAGGCAAGCCCAAATTTGAAATGTGATATTTTCTTTGGCAGCCCCACATCACTGCTGCAGTGTAAAAATGGCACAAAGAATTGTAACTGAATATATTCGAGCTCTAAGGGCTCTCATTTTCCAAACAGGGGCATTTTCTGAAAACCTCTGCCAAGTCTGCTCACATAGCTGATGGATGGTTGGCAGTTTGGAGCTTTACATAACAAAAGCCCTGAATGTCTGCAAAGAGGATAAGACATGCTGTGTACTTAAAGAAAGGAAAGTGGAAAAAAAAACAACAATTGTTAGTTGCATCTATCATGAAAGCTCCTGGGGTTACGGCTTCAACTGGACTAGGGCTGTCAACATGAACCTGCTGGGAAATGTTTGCCAATGAAAACCTGGTTCCACAAGCTACATACACTCATTTTATCTCATCTGGGGAAAAACACTGATTTAAGATGATTTGGTAGAAGGTTTTGGATAAGGTGAAGTAACTAATGTAGACATTATTAAGAAAAAAGAAAAGGAAACGTTTGCTGGGTCCAGAAAAAACACAGAAAAGCTGGCATGTCATACCACACATATTCTGTTTTGTATCTCATCTTTCCTCTATGTCACTTGCACATAAATGAATAGGACTTAAAAATTGCCATGGGCACAGTAAGTTTAACTACTGCTGGCTTTACTGTAGACTAGACAATTGACTCCACACCTCACTAAGCATAATGCATACTGGTGTTTCAATTTCAATTTCAACTCTGTAACACATAGATCTTTTAAAATGCTTTGACGTTAACTTAGAGGATTTAAGATAACAGTGAGTGGCCATCTCTGGTTACATACAAAGAAGGGAAGCTTAATATGCAATTAGACAAAAACGTGAAGTTAAAGGAGTTAAGGGATGGACCAAATTACAGACCACATCAGTTTTTATTTTAAATTACTTGATTTTTGTAAGAAAAAAACATTAACATTTATACATCACATACGTGTGATGTATAAATGTTATGTATGTAAACGGTGGGGGGTACTCACAGGCCTCTGAGAATGAGGGGGACTTGAAAAGACAGGACGCCTTGCTTCTGTCGCACTACAAACAAGATTGGGCTCTCCGACTTGTTGGATAACACGTCCACAGACACACGCACTCCCTCAGTCTGAAAGTCAAGAGAGGGAAAAGGAGAAAGGGCTGATAATAATCTTTAAGTGGTGAAAAAACAAACAGACAAGTCTGAGGAGGCGAACTCACCTTATTCCGAGAGATGGTGTGATTAAACGCGTAAATGGTCTGGTTTTCACTCGTAACCATGTCATTATAGTTGGCATCAAACTCCGCATCTTTCTGGATGATGTTTTTGATCTCCCCCACCTCAATGCCGCAAGCTAACCGAATCGCACATAACCAGAGCAGGGCAGCCAATCCTGGTCGGATCCAACGGGGAGCAGGTCCACAGCTGTTTTTATGTCGTGATTTCCAGGAGCTTCTTAACACCATTTTGCCTGACACCGTCTTCCTACAACTAGGAAACGATATCTTAAGTTACTCTAGGGTGGAGAGACAACGCTATAAAATAACTCCACCCCATTCAGCAACAATAACAAGGACAGCAGGCAGGCTAGCTCAACTATGCCCCTTCAGACAATAACAGCAGGTGCTAAATGAAAGCTAGTGACACAGTGAAGTGTTTACATTTGCTATAAACTTGCGCGTCGTCCTGTCGGCATCCGTAACGAAGTAGACGCTGTCAGTCATGCGCCCAGTGCCAAGTTTCAACACAACAAAACCAGCGACACTCAATTCTTCTATATGAAACCCTGAAATCTGACAGCTCGCTGACTCGCCGTGTTAGCATTAGCACCGCTGGTTAGGCAGCTTCATGTTTTCATGTCGGACTTCGGTTCTGTCGTCAAAAACAAAAGCCTTCCTGTAAAACTGCGAACGGCTGTCACTATCGGGTTTCGTAGGACCGCTGCATTGTGCAAGAAATTTTGGTCCAGCGGGGGGAAGAGATTCAGTGTGAAAATCTGTGCCGTTAGCGCCCACCCTCCCTGCACGCTTAGACAGTAAACAAACCGACGCACGACGTAATGACGACACTTCCTGGACCCTCAGCAGTCAAATATCTGGGTCTGCATGTTTGCTGTATGTGGGGTTGGCCTTATGTGTGAGTTTCCTATATAGTGACTTGAAACCAGGCATAACGACAACAACAACAACAACGATAATAATAATAATACAAAACTGGTAAAGTATTAAACAGGTCAGTTTGAAAGAAGCTGGAATACATCAGGAAAATACTAAATCACGAGGTATGAACTACACTCCCTTATTTTTTCATGTAATATGTTTTTATTACAGCTAATCTTGATGAAGAGGACATTTCAAGGTATTTCAGTGGTTAGTGTCCCAAGGACTTGGATCTATTTTATGTATATACCAAGGCAAAAATGTGTTACTATGTATGCATATGTTGGATCATAGGATCCTCACGCAAACCAAGCTGTTGGATTCAAATTTTACTCCTTTCCTTGACTTCCATTGTCTTCTGCAGCCAGCAGTCTGTCTAAATAACAGAATGCACACCAAAAAAACTGTTGTGTGTAGGCGAAGATGAATAGAACCAGCACATATAAAACTTTTAGTCACACATTATTTTGCTGATAAATTACATTATTGTTGATCAATCAATATATAAGGAATTAGAATCACCATGAACATATACACGATATACACGTCAACAAATGAATAATTATAATACATTATTATCCAAAAACAACAACAGTACTAATAAAAGTAAGAATACCGTCATGTTACATGATCATTGTGAAACATGTCATTACACATTAGGACATTTACGTTTGGAGCTATAAATATAGTTGAAAATGCGGCCTGTGCACTGTTAAGCTACTTAAGTAGCTTTTAGTTATAGTTTAAGTAAAACTACAAAATACTGTTCCCCAGGCACTTATACAACTCATGGTCATTGGTGCACTGGAGGATAGGAGAAGAAGTGGGGTAGACAGGTCGCCAGTCTATCACAGGGCTGACACAAAAAAGCAATCATTCACACCTCATTTACGCCTACGGTCAATTTAAAATCAACACTTGGGGAGGAGGGGAGGAAGCTGGGCATTGTGACTGCACACAGAAATGCCCCAGCCAGTCAGCGGCTGTGAACTCAGGATAGTGCTAACAACTGCACCACCACACCACCCACATATTCATTAATTCACTCCTCAAGAAACCAGCAAGTGCTCTTTTTGTTACCCAGAGCACTCCCTGGCGCCTTTAACATGCGCCACTTCCTACATTAAAATACAAGTCAGCTGCACATTACAAAACTTTCCTTTAGAAATGCATTACACACGATCATTTAGAAATGCACATGACGAAACTTATTTACAATGAGTTATCTAATTCCAAACAACAAGTCTGCTTTCTCTCTGCGGTCTGGGAGCCACAGGGCACCTTCCTGTTTTGGACCAGCCTGGATGCAGGAACTCTTTTCCACCATGAAGGGGTGCTGTCTACAGTCTGGTGAGAGAGCCTATGGACCAGAGAATAAAATTAACTGCATCGAGCTTTGAAATGTTTCCTTTCGTTTTACTTAGATTATCCTTATGTTAAATTACCTCTATGAGTGGATTCAGGTAATGCATCTTTCTATAAATGGTGTGAGTGACCCCGCTTATTTATCTTTTTATTCTTTCGCATACATACATTTAGTTTTGCATAATTATTATTATGTCACTGTGCAGGTATCACTGCGCGCTTGTGGTGGGGATATAGTGATTATGTTTTCGTATGAGTGCAGGCCAGTCACCACGGAAGTACAGCTAATCGCTGATTTAATGATTCTGTGTTCATTAAGAGATCTTATCAAAGCCTCCTCAGAAGGTCAGGGCCATTTATCAGCATTATAAAGACACCTGCATCTCTGGGGGAAGTTAAAGGTTTGCTTGTTTTTTTGTTGTTTAAGTACACGTTTTTAGTAATTTATCGAAGACAAAAACAAAAAAACAAAAACAAAAAAACCCCAGCCAAAATAGCTAATACAGTGCCTGTGGACGACCGCCATAATGGCTGTAATTTTTCTATTTGGGATCTCTTCATGGCATTCAGCTGTTAGAAACTGTAGTCATATTTTTGTGAAACATACTCATATCAGATGTATATTTGTATTGCAGTGGAATAACAAAGCGACCGTTGTTCTCGTCCGCCATTGTAAGGGTAAAGCGGCGTACACCTTTAAACACTTTAAAAACCGTCTGCTCATACAGAACGCAGCACTTTGCAAGGAATCACTGAATCATGGGAACCGGAGTGATAATGCGCACTTCTTTGTCACCAGGGCAACCACAATACGTTTCTCTGGATGAAGTCATTTGTTACGCCGCTCGTTACTATGGTTACAACCTAGAGAGGGCGCTGCGGAAGAGCTTTCTACGTAAAATGACGCAGGGCGGGGGCGTGCCCGCGATGCGCGCTGCGCACGGCTGCTTGTTGTTCCCGCAGAGAGGCGAGAAGATGGCGGCCGTGTCAAGCGGAGGTGCTGCTGGGTCCGCAGCGGCCGGGATTACGCACTCTGCCCGACCGACCCACGCAGGCATGGGCTCCCAGAACCGAGCCCAGCCATCCTCCGGGATCAGCCACTCCGGTCGTACCAGCACAGCCACTGGGTGCATCACAAATCCTGGCCACACTTCGGTCCCCAGGCCACCCCCAGCCCGAGTGGGCCACTACGAAATCGAGCGGACCATCGGGAAGGGAAATTTCGCGGTTGTTAAACTGGCCACACACATCATTACTAAAGCAAAGGTAAGACAATTAATGTCCGAGTATCAGAGGTGAACAATTATAAGTTGTCATTGATTTATTCTGAGCCTTTTCGGCTGCTTTAGTAGAATGACGGTGGGGCCTTCAGGCTCGGGAGACAGCAGCGGCCAGCCCGCTATGGTGACACCGCTGCTCGGTGTAGCGGAGGTCCGCTCGACACGGGACACCACCGTTAGCTACTGGATCCAGATTTATTTATCACAACGTAAATAATAGCTCGCATCTATCCACTTGTAGTGCTTTTTCTGAAAGCTTAAAAGGCCCGAGGTTAATGTGTAGCAAAGCGCAAAGGACAGAGAGAAGGGTATCGACGAAGATAAAAAAGACGAGAGTCGATTTTCTAGTAGCTAGCTTAGCTTGATGGCTAATTACCCGGTTAGTACAACTTAGATACCCCTGAGAAAGATGCCAGTCCGTCAAGGATGAAAGAAAAGTTTGGGCAATTGTTTTTGTTAAGTTAACCGTGAACTTCCAAACTTGATAGGTTTGTGTTTGGCCCAAGATTTAATATCCCTCTTAGGAATTCCCCAATAAAGTACCATCGAAACTTTGTCACACTATATTATAGGAAAGCTAAAGACTGTGGGCTTTAAAATAAACTTAACTGTTTAAAGAATTGGGTGAACAAGCTACTTAACATGTACCGTTTCGCGTAAAGATACGTTCGTACACCTTAACCAGTTTGTTGGAACATTTTCAGCTGTACATATCAGATTTTGTAGTACTAGATATCAGGTTTAATAGCTAGATGACAGCGCGTTGAGTCCTCGTGGACAGGAAAATATTGACATTGGCCAAAAAAATGAAAGTGTTTTCAGAATGGTCACCATACAGTTTTAAGTGGAACATAAACGCGTTTGCATGGTGTGGGCGACAGTTTGAAATATACTGAACGATTGGCATAGTTAATGGCAGATGCTACTGTCAGAAAATTAATGAAACACAAAATCATCCTTCATGAGTAGATGCCTTTCAGCCTTACACTGAAGTTGGCCGCAACTCAGTGCTTTAAAAAAATCTTATTGTTTGCGACACGTTTGGGGGCATTACAAAGAAAAGGCAGCACTCACAAATTCTGAGTATTGTTTTGAAGTTTTGCTGACCTATCGCGTGCGGTGCCTGAGTTTTTGTAAGGCTTTATTTGTCTTTGAGCAGTCTGTTGCCACTGGGTTATCAGCTGTGTTGGTAATGTAACCTTAAAAAGTGCCAAACAAATCAGAAGGCCTTTGCTGGCATATTTGACAACAGATGCGTCATTGAGGTCTCTTCTAATACTAACTGTGATTTGCAGCAGATTAGTATAGCAGCGTTAAAAATCCTTCCTTAGGTTATCGGGAGTATTGGGATCAGTAGTGATCGATGTGCAGGTGAACACTCAGGGCTTCGATTACTGAAAGCGGTGCCTGCAATATATGATGAAGAGCCTTTTATTGAGATGATATAAATAGAGGTATGTCAAAGCTGCCAAGTGTGTAGCTTTACCTTGGTGTTTTTGTTGACATACACACAGACGAGTAGACACGGGGCATTTGGATGCTTTGCGTCACATAGAGACTGAACCCTCCATTTAGTTTCATGACAAAATACACAAGGGCCGGTGAGCCGTGGAGATGTTTTTAATCCTGGGGATGTTGCTCGAAAGACTACCTGTGTGTGTGTTTGACTATGATATGTAGAGGCCAGAATTTATGGGAGATGTTGTTAGTTTCCTCCAATAACAATACAATGTCTATTGTTTTCACTTGTATTGATGTGTGTCTGTCTGAGCCTGAGAGATGACAATCACTGAGAGAATGAAATAAGCCCTGTTTTCTGTCTGTTGATGGTTGGTCGCAGTAACCTCATAATTTCCACCAACAATCGCAGGGGTTTCAGCGTCCCCACTTGGCTTACGGATATCAGAAGAGTAGCAGCGTGCTTTAACGTGCCCGTAGTTATCATGAATATGGATATGGTAATCAGCCATCAGATGAAATGCGCACGGGTAGCTTTGTTTCATGGCCCAGGTTCTATAACGATCTGAAGAGAAATGCTGACTAGTCATAAACAGCCTAACAACTCCCCCCGTTCTCAGATGGAGCTGCGTGATATCCTGCAGTGCAGTCACACAGAAGAGGACCTGGATATTTATACTCTGTGGCTCACAAGCACAGAAAGGGATGGTCCCTTTTCGAAGCCTCATTTCCCCCTCTGATGTTTTATAAAATCTGAGCAATTCGATGGGCAATTAGTTCAGAGTTTAATTTCCCAATAGC